TTTTTACCCAACATGAGGGCGATTATGTGTCCATTAGGATTTTGCATGATTTACCCAGTGTTGGATAAAAAGAAAATACCCAAACTTTAACCAGCAAAAATTTACCACATGAGAAATTCACCCAATTCTCACACTAATGTGTAGCATATTAGACTCTAGTTGGGCAATTCAGTTGGATAAAATATTATAATATTATAAATAAAAAGGACATAAGTGCCGCGGCGGGAATCGAACCGCGGACCCTGTGAACCACAGTCCTGTGTCACATCCACTCGACCACGACAACTCTAATATAAGAATATAACTATATTGTTGAATGATATTTGTCCGACTTACGTTTGCCCAGTAACATCTGCCCAACTTATTTTGAACAATTAATTGGGTAAATATACATGTAGTAAAAACCGGGTTGGGAAAAAATAGCCCAAATGTTGGACAAAAATGGCCCAACTTTAATTTACCCAATAACATTACCTAATTATTTCATCGGCACCTACATGGTTGGTAGGAAATAACCCAATTGTTGGACGACATTTGCCCAACATCGATTTGCCCTGTCACACCTACTCAACCTATTTTTACCTTTCATGAGGTAATAATATAGCAAATGGTTGGAAGAAAATAACCCAATTATTGGACAAAATTTGCCCAACTTTGATTTGCCCAGTAAAATCTGCCCAACTTTTTTTGACAGTGTATAATGGACAAAATACATGTATCTGGACCTACAAATGGGAGGGCCAAGATAATGCACAATATTTCATTTCCTTAACCCTAATCACACATCATGGATATCCAGACTACACATTCAACAACATGTTGTCTTGAAAACTTGTATTCAAATAGGTAAATGGATATTTTTGTGCCTTGTGTTCTAGTGGTGATAACCATTTTAAAGTAAGCATAATTATGGTTGAATATAAGGGGTGGCAATTTGGCCAAATTTAACTACATAAAAGAAGCTAGATGACGTTTATTCAAATAATACCTTGTTAAAACCTGTATAGCATTGGGACATCAGCATGATATAAACCCCTCATAAAAGTTTGGAAACTCAATGATCCTCACTTTGTTTAGTATCAATAGAAAGTGGGCTAATTCATTTTGTAAATGATGTCATATTGTAGCCATGGAATAGCAGTACATTAGAATAAGGGGGCAGTATCAAAAGGAATAGTTGCAAAATACACTGGTTAGTAGTGGAATTGTATGCAAAGAACTTTCCTTTCTTTGATATAAGATCATTTTAGCGGTATGTAGCCATATACTGGTCAACCACATTTTTTTGATGTAGTATCAAGCAAACCTGAGTTAAATTAAAAATACTTTCTTCATATCAAAGCGAGTTTAAAATGCGTCTGTTAGTTTTTGTAATTACTGCTCATAGAACTGTATTTAGGATGTTTCCCTCTTTTTTATAACAAAAAATACATATAAATTAGATAAATAAAGTAACACCAAAGCATTTGTAATATAAGCCCACAGCTGTTTTCTTTTTCTAAAAAAAAAAGTGTAAAAACTACTTACTGCTGCACACTTACATTTAACAAGCACACATTTTTATACCCGACAATTACAAGTTTGTTTCTTTTAAATGCCCTGATGTAACGCTGACTTCAAGTATAACTATGATTTCTATTTAAAAAGAAAAACAAATAAGGAATTTTTGAAAATAACAAAAATATTGAAGCGCCACCAAAAATTGGTGTGGGCTTGGACGAGAAATACGTAATTTGTTATACTTGGCCTTATTACAATCAGAGGTTTTGAGGCCGCATTTCAAATTATAAGATTACTGTCTAAAATATTCAGGAAAATTTACCCAACATTCACCAACCAACTTTCTTGTGTGTAATTCTCAACAATGGCCTCAAACTGAAGTTGGAATAATATTACAATAACAATTAATTAAAAAAAAAAGGGCATATAGTTCTGTTTAAAATAGGTTTATATTTCTTCATATAAATTATCTTTCAATGTATTTTGATTTTTATTATGTATTCAGAACTGCATAAATAAATGAAATGATATATAAAAACTATTAAAAACACAATACATTCCATGACCTACAAATTAAAGCTGTCTTTTTCTTATGAAACTTACAATGAACAATATAAAGCTAGGCTATAACCAACATAAATAAGTATTAAAAGGACCCATTGTAGTATTCTATTAAATAATGGATTGCTTTGATAAAATCCGAGTGCGGAAAAGTTTGAAACCCCACCCGAGTCTACCCGTTTGTGAAGCCGGATATATTCTCAAAGTCGCACGCATAGGCATTGATCGTTTTTAATTGGCCAAGTTGGAGGAAAGATCTTATGCGGGTTGTTTGTTGATGGATGGCTGGCGCCGCTGTAAAGGGAGGCCCGGACGGGAGGTCTTTCGCACGCATAGGCATTCATCATTTTGTCTGGCCAAGTCGGAGGAAAGATCGTATGCAGGTTGTTTGATGGTGGATGACTGGCGCCGCTGTTAATGGAGAACTTAAACAAAAATAATAGTCATTATTTTGTCGAGGTTATAAGTGTATACATTATTAATTTGATATTTTAATCTAACCGATGCCCCTCTTACTTTGACAAGTGCCCCTTTTTCTTTTTAATCAATGTCCCTTTTGCCTTCTTATAAGTGCCCCTCTTCAGGTGTAAGATGTGCCCCTTTTTACCTCTGAAAAGTGTATATTCTACTTTAACACGCGCCCATCTTCTTTTCCAATTACTGACCCTTTCTCTTCGATAAGTACCCTTTTCTTTTTGTAAAAAGTGTCCCTTCCCCTTTCTTATAAATGTCGTCTTTTCAACTCCGATAAGTACCCCGATCCAGATCTGATAAGTTCTCCCCTTTACTTTGACAAATGCTCCTTTTCATTTGTAATAAGTGCATTTTACCATCAAAGAACTGCCCCTTTCCACTACTGATGAGTGCCTCTTTTAGGTATGAGAAATGTCCTATTCCCTTCTGATAGTGCCCATTTTCCCTTTTTAATAACTGCCCCTTTCCCCTTCTAATAAATGCCACTTTTCACATCTGATTAGTTTTCCTTATTACTTTTGATGTGTTTGGCCATTGATGTGAGTGCCCATCATTTGTCTTACCTACATTTCCCGCTTACAAATTGTGCCCTTTTGCGATCATCTAAAGTCCCATATCTAGTTGGTTGGTTGGTTTTAACGTGACCAGGGGGCAATGGCTTTAAGTCATCATCTCCGAGGGACTTGGTAGTAAGAACTAATGCCTTATCAAAGGGCACTTTCAAAGAATCGGAGCAGTTTTGTGTAATAACTGGAAACTTTTTGCTTCTACTACAAGAAAGGTAGTGGAGCCGGGAGAAGGGCAGGGGGCACAATGTCCCACATTTCTTAAGAACGAAGTGTGCCCCTTTTAGAACAACAACCGCGTTCCTTTTCTAAAGCTATAAAACGTTCCTTGCCTAAGCCAAGGTAATCAATTGACCTTTGTTCAAAAATATAAAGTTTGAGACCACGTTTGATTTTTCAAACTCAACTCAAATGCATTTCCATTACCAAATGTCATTCATGTTAAAAAGACTGAGACATAATTACGATACGTGTTATATGAAAAACGTTGTTATTATCCCTCATCTTCCCAGAAACAAGAGACTTCTCATAGCCTCCCTAACATTTTCCCTTAATTTAAAGTGACTGAGAGCATTTTCCCCTTCAAATCTCCTCCAAAACTAGCTCGCTTCGCTCGCTTACATTTATAGTTTATCTCATTAAGAAGCACATTGAAGGTCTTATTTATTATTTCATTATGAGATTGTGCTTAAAACCCCATCTGGATAGGTTCGTCTAATAATAATCGTTATGTGACCTCAAAAAGCTACAAATTACCCTGATTATGTATTAACTACGCTTTAGGATATTTAAATATTTTGCTTCGATGTTACCATTTGTAGGTGTCTTTTTTTCTTCCAAATAGTGCCCTTTTTATGGTGCCCCCCCCCCCCACTTTGAAAAAAATACGCTTTGCCGCCCCTTTAATTGTCCAATGTTATTGTCTTGACTATATAGACTTGTAAGAAATCTATTATTGCATTTTTTAAAACTTTTGCATGTCTTGTCATGAAAGTGGTGTATACAAATTCAGTCTAAATTAAATTCGAACTTCAAATTTCAACCAATCCGTTATTCACACTTTTCTTCTTCCTAAATAAATAAGCAGGAAAATGTATATAATTATAGGATGCAATTTCAAATATTCCAATCTCAAGAAGAACTCAATTTTTTTTTCACTCCCCTGCCTCTCTTCTTCCTCTTCTTTCTGCTCTCTCTCATCTCGCTCTTTCCCTCTCTCCTCTCTCCCTCGCACCTCTGCCTCCCACTATATCTCTCAAGTTGTAATTCTTTTAACATACTCCCCCGGTCGCTACGCTCCCTCTCATATGATACATAATTTAACGCTAAACACTATGATAGATAGCTCACATTTCCGAAGGTTTGTTAAATCTGCCAAAATTAGGTTCATAATTTCGAAAATTAGAAACAGGGTTCTCTCTCGTTTTCGGAATAAGGAACCTTCAGAATCATGAACCCTATTTCATTTTTGGAACTACAAACCTTTTGAATAACAATCTTTTGGAATAAGAAACCTTCAGATTGATAAACTTTTGGACTAACTGACCTTGGCAAATATTCACCTTCGGAAATATGAATCTTTGAGGAAAAAAGACGTGTAACCGATCTTGATGACTTCTAAGATCGTGTGTATCTATAGCCTAATGAAGAAGTATAGTTGAACAAGAGATAGATTGATTAATTCTACTTTCAAATGATCCGCCCATATATCTTTATTTCTTTTTCTCATTGAATACAAAGTCTCTCAAATCAAAATAAAGTTATCAGTTATCAAAACATCTGGCCAACCCCAGCGGTCCTATCAATCATTACACGCACGCAAAAATGATCAAAGAGGCGCAGGTGAGGAATGTGGCGAGGAATAATTCCATAAAAGGGAAGCCATAATCGGTTCCAGTCATCAATTCAGGAGCTGATCTCGCCCGCAACAAGCTGCTTTCAGAACCTTCTCACCAGATTGGTAAGCATCTGTTTTCTACTTTGCAGACTATTATTTCAGAACTTCAGTTCAAAACTGATTTTTCGATAATATGTTTTTTGGCCTACTTCTAAATCTTGCTTCGTTCAAATGGCATATTACTTGTTTCTTTATTATTCACCAATACAATGCATATATTCTACAATCTGCCTTATAGTTTTGATAACTTGTAATTCAAAACTTTGATGTTTAATCTTTACCCTTGATTTGTCATGATTCCCATTATATTTATAATCATGATATTGTTAGTCTTCGGACTACAATCGTGTATCAGTGTATGAAGATATCAATCATGTAGAGGTGATTTGGTCCTGTGGATGAGTCAATCAAGTCCGGATTACCTAATGCATCGTTATTAAGTTCGCACATTTCAATCTGTGTTAGACAAGTCTATTGAAATAGCTTTTCAGTTTGATTTTTGCGGAGGTATTTGCAATCGTATATACTGTAATAGCATCACCCATCTATCTATCTCTAAAGTCGGCGGCGTAAGTAGGAATTTCTTTTTTTTATGGCAGCCTGGGCAATAATAAATAAATTTGCACTGCCCCTGTCCAAAGTTATGAGCTTAGATACTAACAAGCTAACTTCTCATTAATATCGTTCAGAAATTATAGCAATGTAGTGAAAATGATTTTAACCCAATTAATCCGGGAATTGGTAACCCAAAGCTTGATAAGTCTAGGAGTTATCCAAACTAGGGTGGAAAAGCGACCAATTGATTGATTGATTTTATTCGTTAAATATAGACCTAAATAAATTTGTATCATGGAAAATACAACATAAAAAGGAAATACCTTCAGATCATGTGATAATGCGTGAAAGCGAATCTTCAGAAAATCGTGTTGAATATAATTACACTGATTTTTTTAAATGACAACCTTCTTAAGTTTGATACTCATCTCAGTTTGAAAAATCCGTAGATTGGCAACTATTTCCAATATAACGAGAGTACTAACGGGATGGGCTCTTTTTTATTATAAAATTAACTATGCAAAATTTGCATTTCACCATTCAAAACGCGATTTCTTATGCGTTTTACATTTTGGGGGAAAAAATTCCAACCGACGGTGTTTCAGAGTTTGAAAATAGAAAAATGCTATTCTATTCAGTTCTTCCCATATTCTAGCAATATAATAAGGACGAACGTTTTCGAGGAATTCAGCACAGAAATACGGAACCGGCAAGATAGGAATGACTCCCAATTCTCGTTTCCTTTGTTCTTCTTTTGCTAAACCAAACAGAATAGCCTTTCACATATTGCAGGCTGCTTCCCAAGCTAAACTAGTCAAGATGATGATCAAAGTAGCTCTTGTGCTCTGTGCTATTGTGGCAACCAGTATGGTGTGCGCCAAAAATTTTGAAGAGCAAGATGCATTGGACACTTGTAAGTACATAAGTCAGCCAGGGACGTCAATGCTTGAAAAGTTTTGACCGCCCCCTTAACCCTAAAAAGGCTGGGCTATTTGAGGTGTTATATACGGCCGGGGGGAGGCATTGTGGCCCCCTCTTAAGATCCTGGCCGTGAAACGGCCGATCTCCGCGAAAATTTGCACGCATGTCCAGTGAAGTGTATAGAATACTATGATAATTTCACATTTTTGAAAAATTCACTAATTTGCATACTTATGGTAATTTATGCAAATAAGGTCATACAAATCACATTTTTACCCATAATCCAAATATTATTCATATTTAAGCATTCTTTTTCACTACAGATATTCATTAGACTATTTGGATCAATAATACGACAACAAATTTGGAAGAGCCAGCTTATTCCTTGTATTATCTCTTGTTTTGATAATTTCTATAGCTTTCATTGGTTTTTGTTGTTTTATTTCATTTCTAACTACAATTCAACTATTTTGACTACCAAAACAACCACCTTAACTTTAAACAGGACCGAATAACCAATGTTTGATCTATTTTTAGGAAAAATGACATTTCCATATGTTTTGTACACAAATCACGAAAATTAGCCATTTTCGGGCAAACATGCAAAGACAAAAGATTACGTGACCTTGTAACTGTAGGACCGATTTTCAAAATAATTCTTTTAAAAGATGCGCAAGACTCGAAAGAAAAAAGTCTGCGAGCGGCGGGTCGCCATCCAAATGCGTTCCCGAACAATCAGAAAAATTGTGGAGGGGGGCATAATGCCCCCGGCCTTATTAGGGTTAAGCAGTCTGTCAGGAAATCCCTAAGCTATTGTCAGAAAAGCTGTGGAATTAAGACATTTTGTTAACACATGATAATATTGTCGTACGACCCTAATTTACTCGGGGGGGGGCAGTAAGAATATAATGTGTTTTCCAGGCAAGGGTACTCTAAATGTGTTTTAACAAACTCAACAAACTTTCCTTGTTTTCCTTTCATTTTTTGCCTATTAATTTGACACCCTAAATGCGTCACTCGCCTTAACCAGCCAAAACTTGTTTTGGTCGCGCGTATGTACATAAATATATATTTGAAAGCTTCCCCCTGGGTATTTTCTTTGTTTTTATTCCATCTCGTTTCTATGGCAACCAGTGCTGAATCTGATGCTCTCGGAGGAAGTTGCATCTCCTGATGCTGTGGCCTTGCAAGGCTCCCTCTCGGAGGAGGCTGCATCTCCTGATGACGCGGTAGCCTTGCAGAGATGGATGAGGCGAGTCCTCAAATTTGGAGGTCGTGTAGTTCGTAAGATAGTCCATCCCCATGATCATCCCCATGATCAGTGAAGAGGATCTTAAATCGATATGCGCTGGTGCACAAGCCCTTTTCCGATAGACTCGGTATGTTTTGTACAATAACATAAAACAAGATAATTGTAGTGCAGATGTTCAACCAATGATTTTCTACTCACAGTTACATAATTATACAGAGCTGCTTAATAAACATCAAAATGTCAAATTAGACTCAATCACTTTTTATCAAGTATTTGTTTTAATGTACGGGAGGGAGGGGGTTGTGTGGCAACGGGGCAAATCAAAAACTGTAAATGAAGCCGAGTAAACAATCCACCACTTATAAACCTTTTACATGTATTTTGCTTTAACGATTTAAATACCTGTCAAGTCCCAAGTAAGCAATGTTTAAGACTATAATATTGTGGGCCTATACGAGACTGTGGACATGAGCCAGTGTCGGATACAGGGAGGGGCCCCGGACCTTTATTTGGAGATGGGCCCCCTCCCCTGGTGCTCAAGGGGGGGGGTGATTTTCAAATTATTAAGGTAAGGGCTAAAAAAAAATAGTAGTGCTCACTACACCCCCCCCCCCCCCGCCCCCTACCACTGAGTGATTTATCTGCCGGCGCGATTTTCAATTTGTCAGAGGCAAAAAAAAAAAAAAAGCTCCTTACCCCCTCCCCCCTCCCGCTTATTCACCGGCTGGCTGTTTCGCCGGTAAATATTTTATCACGAATTGGGCCCCCCCCCCTCCCCTGCCGCCGGCTTGATCTGCCCCTGATATGAGCAAACGTGCGTTCTTACTCTGACATTTAAAAAGATACTTCTCTCAATGTTGATGTTCCAGCAGTATCAGTTTTAGAATTGTTGCTGATTACAATTTATAATTCTCAAACGCTATGATCAATAGTGATAAGCATGGAGTCATTTATGAAATTATCTTCTAATAAGAAATACAGTATATATGACATTGTATAGGCATATATGCTTCTTTCTTCTCACCGTGCCCCCTCTCTCTTTCTCTGTCTCCCTTTCTCCCCCTCTGTCCCCCTCTCTCTGTCCCCCTCTCTCTCTTTCTCCCCTCTCCCTTTCCCCTTTCTCTATCTCTCTTTCTTCCACTCTCTCCCTGTCTCTCCCTCTCTCTCTCTCTCTCTCTCTCCCCTCTCCCGTGTTTCTCTTACTCCCTTTTCTCCACAATTTCCTCATTATAAATTAAACAAAATAGATTGTCTTCCTTTATTTCTCACATAGGAAGGGACCAGGAGGCACTATCCGGGACACTTGATGTTGATTCTTCCTGAACAAACAATGAAATAAAAGCAAGAAATTGTCAACTTCCATCGTGTTTTTTCAACTTCCTTATAATCAGAATCTTCTTTATAACTCCTGTATTGTTTAAATCATTAAACCTTGTTAATCCTCTAAAAAAGAAGATGGTGAGTGGTTTTCATTATCAATACATATTTTGCCTTTACTTCCATGTATCCATTTATTATACATCTTTCCTAGGTGTTTACAAACATGTTGGGTTAAAAGTACAACTATTCTTAAAATCTAGCATAATAATACATCTTTTCATCATAAGCTTCATTTAAAAAATCTTCTCTCGGTTTTACTCTTTTTTTTCCCTAAAGAAAAGTACCAACAACAAGACATTGTAAGCATGGTATAAGGGGAATAACTAATAGTATTGGTAATAATGCTGATAATAAAATCACATGATCTTGCAAAACATACCTAGCGTGTTTGTTTTGGGTATTTTGTTATATGCTATAAAATAAGTAGTGTATGATTAATAGAATAATGTTGGCATAAAGGGAAAATACGAAAAACAACACTTCGATGAAGAAAAAAAGGGAGAGGGGCAAAAATAAAACAAAGTGAAAAGGTTGAATAGAAGAATAAAGATAGAGAGAGAAGAGAGGGGGCACGGAAGAGCAGGGAAAAGAGCGCGAAAGAAAGAGAAAGTGTGTGTGAGAGAGAGAGAGAGAGAGAGAGAGAGGGGGGAAGTGAGGCAAGGAAAGCGGGAAAAAGGAGAAAGAGGAGTGATAACAGAATAGACTACTAAAGACTGAAAGGGACAGAATGAAAGAGAGAGCGAGAGCGAGAAATACAGTGACAGGGAGGAAGCAATAAATATGCGATTGAGGGGCATTTAAGATGGAGAGAAGAGAGAGGGGAGCAGAGAGGAAAAGGATAAAAGGAAGGGGAGTAATGGATTGTGTGTGTGTGTGTGTGTGTGTGTGTAAGGCACACACATTACTCAGTTGGTCTGTATAAAAGTATCTGCAAAATGAGACTACAATACGCTTTGTACTTAAGTTTGACACAGCAAGAAACCGACAGGTCTAGGCTCTGCTCAAGGCTTTAGGAATTGTGGATTTGTGGTAAAGTGTTATACCAGAGTATATGCTTGCAAACTATGGAGGAGCAGAGGAGCACTTAGGCCCCTAGAGTCTTAGGGGTCTGATCCCAAAATATTTGAAAAACTGAAGCCGTTTTTGTTATTGTAATGGCATACTGAAATCCACAGCTACACTCTAAAAAGTATTGGGCTGGCAAAAAATTGCCCAATTTTTTACCCAACAGGAGGGCGATTATTTGTCCATTAAGATTTTGCATGATTAACCCAGTGTTGGATAAAAAGAAAATACCCAAATTTTAACCAGCACAAATTTACCACATGAGAAATTCACCCAACTCTCACACTAATGTGTAGTATATACGACTCTAGTTGGGCAATTAAGTTGGATAAAATATTATATATGTTATAAATAAAAGGACATTAGTGCCGCGGCGGGACTCGAACCGCGGACCCTGTGAACCACAGTCCTGTGTCACATCCACTCGACCAAGACAACTCTAATATAAGAATATAACCATATTGTTGAATGAATTAGTCCGACTTACGTTTGCCCAGTTACATCTGCCCAACTTATTTTGAACATTTATTTGGGTAAATACATGTAGTAAAAACCGGGTTGGGAAAAAATAGCCCAAAAGTTGGACAAAAATGGACCAACTTTAATTTGCTCAATAACATTACCTAATTATTTCATCGGCAACTACATGGTTGGTAGGAAATAACCCAATTATTGGACAAAATTTGCCCAACTTTGATTTGCCCAGTAAAATCTGCCCAACTTTTTTTTACAGTGTATAATGGACAAAATACATGTATCTGGACCTACAAATGGGAGGGCCAGGATAATGCACAATATTTCATTTCCTTAACCCTAATCACACATCATGGATATCCAGACTACACATTCAACATGTCTTGCAAACTTATATTAAAGGTACTATCCCAATAAACAGAACACCAAAAAGTAACCTCTTTTGGGAGTGTATTTTAAGTGATTTTAAAGTATAGTGCCTTTTGAACTAGATTTAAACGTTATCGACACGTGCCTTCATTTAAACAAAAAAGGTACTCCTGTTCACGTTTTCATCTAACCTAAAAACCACCAGTTTATCACGCGACTGGAGTAACGTGATTCCACTTACCTCTGCAAATCAAGTGCTTATGACCAAATAACCACTTGACCAAGCAACGAGTTTTTTGTCAGTTAACCGATGGTGGCGATAAATACGTAATTATTTGGTCTTGTAAGCACCTTTATTGATTGGTTTCATAGGTTATCCAAGGTTGATGGTAATAATCACGTTACTTACACCGGCTAATCGTCTTATTGTTCTGTCCGTGAATCTCTGGTTGTATTCAACTAGTAATTCTGAGGTGTCTTACACACCTCTTTAAAAGGTTTCAAAGTTACCATAAATTTCTTGGTTATGATCACGTAGCTCAAGCTGATTACTAATCTAAGCTGTGAAAACGTGATATGTAGGTGTGAAAATTAGTAATTATTAAGTGTTTTAAAACACCTTTTTAAATGGTAGTCAAAGTTGCCATAAGTTCCGCGGTGATGATCTCATGACTCAAACGGATTATTGATCTAAGCTGATCATACGTGACTTTTAGGTGTGAAAAATGAGTCATTATTAGGTGTCGTAAAACACCTATTTAAATGGTTTCAAAGTTACCATAACTTTCTTGGTGATGATCACGTAGTTAAAACTGATTAATAATCTAAGCTGTGAATCCGTGATATTTAGGTGTGAAAAATGAGTAATTATTAGGTGTCTTAAAACACCTATTTAAATGGTAGTCAAAGTTGCCAGCAGTTCCGCGGTGATGATCTCGTGACTCAAACGGGATATTAATCTAAGCAGGACATACGTGACTTTTAGGTGTGAAAAATTAGTCATTATTAGGTGTCTTAAAACACCTATTTAAATGGAAGTCAAAGTTGCCATAAGTTCCGCGGTGATGATCTCGTGACTCAAACGGATTATTAATCTAAGCTGGGCATACGTGACTTTTAGGTGTGAAAAAATAGTCATGATTAGGTGTCTTAAAACACCTATTTAAATGGTAGTCAAAGTTGCCAGCAGTTCCGCGGTGATGATCGCGTGACTCAAACGGATTATTAATATAAGCTGGGTATTCCGTGTTTTCCATGTGTGAAAATGAGTTATTCTTGGGTGTCTTGATGGTTTCACAGTTACCATTTAAGTTCCGTGGTGATAATCCCGTGACTGTTGGCATATTTCTATTTTCACCAGTTGATGACTGACTGTTGGCATATTTTCATTGCACCAGTTGATAACTGGAGTGTGCATATTTCCAGTTGCACCAGTTGATGACTGAGCGTTGGCATATTTCGAGTTGACCCAGCTGACACCAATTCATTTGCATATTGAATATGGGGTGCGTGCAGATCTATGTTTTTTAAACAATTTATCTGAATTTACAGCATATTTCTTAATTACTGATGATTTAGTAATATGAAATTCATTTCGAAAATACTACAAATATAAATTACCAGTTATTAGGACATTTCGCTACTTCGTATAAATAGTTAAACATGAAAAAGGGAAACATTAACTGTGAACTAAAATAATTTCAATAAAGTACAAGTATACGAATTTTTTTCGATTAATTCAATTATGTAAGTCTACTTATTACCAATGCCCTTACATTGGAAATACAGACGTACCAGTAATGAAGTATTGTTGCTGTTAAACTGGTTGGAAGTTTTACCAAATGGTTCTAATGGCTCAGCTAGACGAGTTGAATTATAACTGGCCTGGATCAACTGGATCATTTAGCCCATTTCAATTTCCAGGGTTACCAGTTGGCATTAAATGGTTCATCAATTGGACCAGTTGCAACTAGCTTTCTCTTCTGGGATGTTTGCACCTCCCCCACCCAACCCCCTCTAATCCAAAACTGCTTCCGGCGCGCCTGGACGTAATTATGGAAGATCCAAGACACGATGTTCAGAAACGGGATGAGATCGTCATTATTTTGGTTCATTTATTGTGTAACATTTGCGTATTTATTGGGTTGAACGCGGGTTACAGTAACATACTTCCTCTTCGACGTAAATTTCACGTGAATGAAGAACATGATTCATCTCAAGTCAGCCTCGTAATATTCACGTGAATTTCACGCAGATATTTTGACTAAAACTATCACTAACGCTTCACGTGTTTCTGTGACGCGATAATTTCGTGTATGAAGATGTAATTTCATAACCAAACAAACACGGGAGTATTAGGTTTACAAACCATGGTCTCCAAGGTAGGGATAATCACGTTATTATAATGGTGATATTGCAGTGACAATTGCGTAATTTAGTGTACGTGTGTTTCAAGTTACCTAATGCAATAAACGTATTAACACATTTACGTAAATGTCCGGTGTTTGAAGAACGTAACCCTCCTCAAGTCGATACCTTGATATTGACGTGATTTTCACGTGATTTTGTTTATTGGGATGTCCCTTTTGCAGCCAACCTCAAATTCTGTAGAACTTTGCACGAATTATGAGTATGTCATGTATGTCCTATCTGTGAAATTTAAACGTTAGCAGTGTCCTAATATTAAAATTATGCAAGGAAACCCGTTTACTTGCTAGACTCCACTGTCAGACACTATTGAGTGACTGACTGGCTTTTTTCTTCTTTGGTAATAACATACATAAAATGAGCAGTAAAGGGTACATGAGCATTTATCTACATCAATGACCCACTTCTTGTGATGGCCAAAATTAAACTGATTGAATCTTTGCGCAGCATAAAACGTATGACCGTTCGGTACAATGGTCTGAAAATCAAGACTATTACTTATTGGCTCTATAGCTCCTAAGTCGATTTGACAACTAATAGTCGTTATTTTCCCACTTGAAGACATTTTCAAGCCCCACCTGTTTTTATGGAAGTTCTAAATTAGTATTATCTTTCAAATGCCATTGGAATTTAACCTTTTCATTTTTTTGGCCTGCAAATGGGACATAGTACCTTTAAAATAGGTAAATGGATCCTTTCGTGCCTTGTGTTCTAGTGGTAATAACCTTTTTGAAGTAAGCATATGGTTGAATATTAGGGGTGGCAATTTGGCCAAATTTAACTACATAAAAGAAGCTAGATGAAGTTTATTCAAATAATACCTTGTTAAAGATAAAGGCCAGTTTAATATGGTCATGCGATTGCATTGTGAAAGAGACGTTGTGGAATCGATCAGAAAAGGTTGATCATCTAGCATATAAGTATTGGTGTGTACTGCAAGGTTCTGGAATCATCAAAATGATAAGAAATTTGGCCCAGTCTTCGTAAAGTTACAAGCACTGTACACAGAAAGATGTATATGGGACAACGCACACGTGCGCGACACGTGCCTTTATCTCTCACATACTAATAGATAAACTAATTTACCAAATATATAAATTAGTAGGCGGTTTCCCGGCAAATTTTGTATCATCATGTATTAGTCAAAACACATTCTTTCACATGCTTGGTAATAAGAGCTTCCATTTCATTTTTTGAAATTGGGGCGTTTCAAATACTGGTCTTTACCTTTAAAACCTGTATAGCATTGGGACATCAGCATGATATAAAGCCCTCATTAAAGTTTGGAAACTCAATGATTATCACTTTGTTTAGTATCAATAGAAAGTGTGTTTATTCATTTTGTAAATGATGTCATATTGTAGCCATGGAATAGCAGTACATTAGAATAAGGGGGCAGTATCAAAAGGAATAGTTGCAAAATGCACTGGTTAATAGTGGAATTGTATGCAAAGAACTTTCCTTTCTTTGAAATGAGACCATTTTAGCGGTGTGTAGCCGTATACTGGTCAACCACATTTGTATTATGTAGTATCAAGCAAACCCGAATTAAATTAAAAACACTTTCTTTATATTAAAGCGAGTTTAAAATGCACCTGTTAGTTTTTGTAATTACTGCTCATAAAACTGTGTGTAGGATGTTTCCCTCTTTCTTATAACAAAAAATACATATAAATTAGATAAATAAAGTAGCACCAAAGCATTTGTAATATAAGCCCACAGCTGTTTTCTTTTTCTAAAAAGACAAGGTGTTCAAACTACTTACTGCTGCACACTTACATTTTACAAGCACACATTTTTATAACCGACAATTACAAGTTTGTTTCTTTTAAATGCCCTGATGTAACGCTGACTTCAAGTATAACTATGATTTCTATTTAAAAACAAAAAGAAATAAGGAATTTTTGAAAAAAACAAAAATATTGAAGCGCCACCAAAAATTGGTGCGGGCGGGGACGATAAATACGTAATTTGTTATACTTAGCCCTTATATACAAACAGAGGTCTTGAGGCCGGAATTCAAAATATAAGATTACTGTCTAAAATGTTCAGGAAAATTTACCCAACATTCACCAACCAACTTTCTTGTGTGTAATTCTCAACAATGGCCTCAACCTGAAGTTGGAATAATATTACAATAAAAATTCATAAACTTGAAATACAGGGCCTAGTTCTGTTTAAAATAGGTTTATATTTCTTCATATAAATCATCTTTCAATGTATTTTTTATTTTTTATTATGTATTCAGAACTGCATAAATAAATGAAATGATATATAAAAACTATTAAAAACATAATACATTCCATGACCTACAAATTAAAGCTGTCTTTTTCTTATGAAGCTTACAATGAACAATGTAAAGCTAGGCTATATAACCAACACAGATTAGTATTAATAGGACCTATTGTAGTATTCTATTAAATAATGGATTGCTTTGATGAAATCCAAGTGCGGAAAAGTTTGAAACCCCAACCGAGCCTACCCGTTTGTGAAGCCGGATATATTCTCAAAGTTGCACGCACAGGCATTGATCGTTTTGTTTGGCCAAGTCGGACTAAAGATCGTATGCGGGTTGTTTGTTGATGGATGGCTGGCGCCGTTGTAAAGGGAGGCCCGGACGGGAGGACTTTCGCACGCATAGGCATTCATCATTTTGTGAGGCCAAGCCGTAGCAAAGATCGTATGCAGGTTGTTTGATGATGGATAACTGGCGCCGCTGTTAATGGAGAACTTAAACAAAAATAATAGTCATTATTTTGTCAAGGTTATAAGTGTATACATAATTAATTTGATATTTTAATCTAAACCATGCCCCTTTTACTTTGACAAGTGCCCCTTTTTCTCTTTAATCAATGTCTCTTTTCCCTTCTTATAAGTGCCCCTCTTCAGGTGTAAGATGTACCCCCTCTTTACCTCTGAAAAGTGTATATTTTACTTTCACACGCGCCCATCTTCTGTTTCAATAACTGACCCTTTCTCTTCGATAAGTACCCCTTTTCTTTTTGTTAAAAGTGTCCCTTCCCCTTTCTTATATATCGTCTTTTCAACTCCGATAAGTACCCCGATCCAGATCTGATAAGTTCTCTCCTTTACTTTGACAAGTGCCCTTTTTCATTTGTAATAAGTGCATTTTACCATTAGAGAACTGCCCCTTTCCAGCTCTGATAAGTGCCTCTTTTAGGTATGAGAAATGTCCTATTCCCTTCTGATAGTGCCCATTTTCCCTTTTTAATAACTGCCCCTTTTCCCTTCTAATAAATGTCACTTTTCACATCTGATTAGTTTTCCTTATTACTTTTGATGTGATTGGCTTTTGATGTGAGTGCCCATCATTTGTTTTACCTTCATTTCCCACTGCCGCTTAAAAATTGTGCCCTTTTGCGATCATCTAAAGTCCCATATCTAGTTGGTTGGTTGGTTTTAACGTTACCAGGGGGCGACGGCTTTAAAGTCATCATCTCCGAGGGATTTGGTAGTAAGGAATAATGCCTTATCAAAGGGCACTACCGCATCGACCTGGTTTTGAAACCTACTGAGTCAATTCATGAACCTTCTAGTTTTAAATAATCGGAGCAGCTTTGTGTAATAACTGGAAACTTTTTTCTTCTACTACAAGAAAGGTAGTGGAGCCGGGAGAAGGTCAGGGGGCACAATGTCCCACATTTCATAAGAACAAAGTGTGCCCCTTTTAGAAAAACAACCGTGTTCCTTTTCTAAAGCTATAAAACGTCCCTTGCCTAAGCCAAGGTAATCAATTGACCTTTGTTAAAAAATATATAGTTTGAGACCACGTTTGATTTTTCAAACTGAACTCAAATGCATTTTCCATTACCAAATGTCATTCATGTTAAAAAGACTGAGACATACTTACGATACGTGTTATATGACAAGACGTTGTTATTATCCCTCATCTTCCCAGAAACAAGAGACTTCTCATAGCCACCCAACATTTTCCCCTAATTTAAAGCGACTGAGAGCATTTCCCCCTTCAAATCTCCTCCAAAACTCGCTCGCTACGCTCGCTTACATTTATAGTTTATCTCATTAAGAAGCACATTGAAGGTCTTATTTATTATTTCATTATGAGATTGTGCTTAAAACCCCATCTGGATAGGTTCGTCTAATAATAAAAATTAATCGTTCGTAATGTGACCTCAAAAAACCTTACAACGTTTCGTCCCTTGCTTCGCTCGCTCGCAAAGAAATATTTAGACCATCACACACAACAGCAGAGTATGATGCTGAAGCAATATCTTTGACCAAGTAAAGAGTAAATCTTGAAAATCATCCTTACAATGTAATGATTACGCTTTAGGATATTTAAATATTTCGCTTTGATGTTACCCTTTGTAGGTGCCTTTTTTCTTTCAAATAGTGCCGTTTTTTATTGGTGGCACTCCCCCCCCCCCTCACTTTGAAAAAAAAAACAGGCTCTGCCGCCCCTTTATTTTTACAATGTTATTGTCTTGACTAAAAATCTATTATTGCATTCTATGATTTGTGCATGTCTCGTCATCCGTTATCCACATTGATTTTCTTCTTTCTAAAGAAATAAGCTGGAAAATTAATTTAATTATAAGATACAATTTCAATTATTCCAATCTCAAAAGTACTCAATTTTTCTCACTCCTCTGCCTCTTTTCTTCCTCTTCTTTCTCCTCTCTCTCATCTCGCTCTTTCACTCTCCCCCTCTCTCCTTCTCGCCTCTGTCTCTCACTCTATCTTTCTGTATGTGCATAATTATTTTAACATACTCCCCCGGTCGCTACGCTCCCTCGCATATGATACGAAATTTAACGCTAAGATTTCCGAAGGTTCGTTAAATCTGCCATAATCAGGTTCATAATAATAATCAAAATAAAGTTATCAGTTATCAAAACATCTGGCCATCCCCAGCGTACCTATCAATCATTACACACGAACAAAAATGATCAAAGAGGCTCAGATGAAGAAAGTGGCGAGGAATAATTCCATAAAAGGGAAGCCATAATCGGTTCGAGTCTTCAATTCAGGAGCTGATCTCACCCGCAACAAGCTGCCTTCAGAACCTTCTCACCAGATTGGTAAGCATCTATTTTCTACTTCGCAGACTATAATTACAGAACTTTTCTTCCGAACCGATTTTTCGATGATATGTATTTTGGCCCATTTCTAAATCTTGTTTCGTTCAAATGGCATATGACTTTTTTTATTTTTTATTTTAATTGTTCACCAATACGATGCATAATATATTCTAAAATATGCCTTATAGGTTTATTTACCATTAATTTATATCTTTCATGTCTAATGTTTACGCTTGATTCGTTATGTTTCCCATTAAATATTATAATGATGATATTATTAGTCTTTGGACTACAATCGTGTTTCAGTGTATGAAGATATCAATTATGTAGAGGTGATGCGGTCCTGTGGATGAGTCAAATCAAGTCCGGATTACGTAATGCATCGTTATAATGTTTGCACATTTTAATAGGTGTTGGACAAGTCTATTGAAATCGCTTTTCAGTTTGATTTTGCGAAGGTCTTTGCAATCGTATACACCGTTATCATCACCCATCTATCTGTCTCTACAGTCAGCGGCGTGAGTTTCTTTTTGTATGGCACCCAGGGCAAATATTGAATTTGCGCCGCCCCTGTTCAAACATACGAATTCAAAATACAAACAAGCTTACTTCTCAATCACATCATTCAGAAATTATAGCAAATAAGTGAAAATAATTTAAACGTGTTTAATCCTGAAATTGGTAACCCAAAGATTATTTGATTTTATTTGTTAAACATAAGGCTAAGTAAATTTGCATTAGATGAAAAATACAAAATAGAAAAGAAATACCTTCATGTGATAGCACGTGAAAGCGAATCTTCAGAAAATCGTGTTGAGATATGAATAGAATTACACTGATTTTTTGATAACTTTCTTAAGTTTGATACTTATGTCAGTTTGAAAAATCTGTAGATTGGCACATTCTTTTAAAGTATTTCCAATAAAGCGAGAATACGAACGGGACAGGCTCTTTTTTTAATTCAAAATTAAATTCATGCAAAATTTGCATTTTACCATTCAGAACGCGATTTCTTAAGCGTTTTACAGTTGTGGGGAAAAAATTCCGACCGACGGTGTTTCAGAGTTTGAAAATAGAAAAATGCTACTCTATAGAAATCAGAACAGGAATAACTGCCACTTCTCGTTTCCTTTGTTCTTCCTTTTTAATAACCAAACAGAATAGCCTTTCACATATTGCAGGCTGCTTCCCAAGCTAAACTATAGTCAAGATGATGATCAAAGTAGCTGTTGTTCTCTGTGCTATTGTGGCAACCAGTATGGTGTGCGCCAAGGATTTTGAAGAGCAAGATGCATTGGACACTTGTAAGTATATAAGTCAGCCAGGGGCGTCAATGCTTGAAAAGCGTGTAAACATGCATGACCACAGGTTTTTTGTCACCTCCCTGTTATATTTACTGTTCAAAATCACCCTTTCCAAGTATTTCTCGAAAATTTACCCACTAAACAAGTTTAACCCTAGAACATGTCCTCTTTAATAACAAGGTAATAATCCCTTAAAAATACTTTTGAATGGTTCGAAATGCCATCACATTTATATTCACTTAACCATTATAATTTGAGAAATTATAATTATAATTGCAATTATGTTCATTCTGTATGGGATGTCGTCCGTTTGTGCAAATCGTGCCTAACCTGTGATGTCACGCATCTCAACAGCGTTCGCTCTCCAGGTGCTTTGCCCAGTGACGGATCCAGGGGGGGGGGGGCCGTGACCGGCCAGTGTCACAAATAAGGTATCAAAATATGCTCATCTGACAGTAATTTAATGTATAACACCCCTGAGCTTCTAGGGGCTCTGCCCCCTTGACCCCACACCAAGTTGTGTCCTGCCAGTGTAACAAATTAATAAGGTATCAAAATATTCTCATCTGACATTAATTAAATGCCTATACCCCTTGACCCCCGCCGAGAAACGTTCAACAGGGCCTGCATGTAAGAGTGTTTTTTTTTTCTACCCCCCCCCAAAAAAAAAAGTTTTTGCCACTGCCGGTGTCACCATTACGTACCAATATTTGACTCGCATAATTTCAAATATGGCCCCCCCCCCCCTAAGAAATCTTGGATCCGCGCCTGGGTATGCCAGGGCTGTATCGTTTTGTAATTTATAATAATCATTAATTCGAATGTTTCCAAGCATTGAATTTTGATAAAATTGTCCAATCAAAGTTTCACCTTTGCAATAATGAAAATAAAGTTAGTTTTTTAAAATCTTCGCACAGCTACCTTAATAAACCCGACAATTCCCCCACATTTGTTTTCCTATTTGACACCCTAAATGCGTAACTCGTCTTAACCAGCCGAAACTTTTTTGATCGCGAGTGTATTTGTTTCATCTCGTTTCTATGGCAACCAGTGCTTTCGGAGGAGGCTGCATCCCCTGATGACGCCGTAGCCTTGCAGAGATGGGTCATACACCGTCGTTTCATACACCATTATGGATTGCACCGAGGCCTCCATGTTGTACGGAATGTATGCAGGAGGTTTGCTCATTCTCCAGAAGAAGCTCGTAAGTAGCCACACTAATTTATTTCTTTTTGCCCCCCCCCCCCGAAATTTGAAAATCGCGCCGACCGATATTTCGCTCAAGGGGGGGGGGGGAGGGGGGGGCGCACTTTTTTTTTTACACTAACAGAAAAATTGGGGGGGGGGGGTTAACCCCTCCCAGAACCTTCGCATCTCCTGTAAGTATTTTGAGTCCAACCCCAAGAAAAAAAAACAACAACAATCTTTGGCGTCCTGCATTTTTGGAAAAAATGAGGGAGGCCATTTTTTCTCAAAAAGGCCGCCCGGCACATTTTCCAAGACGTTCGACCGGGCTATTTTTCATGATGGCCGCCAGCTCTCATATCTCATTCTCTTTTTTTTTCCCCGAAACAAATAATTTTAGCAGCTTGTTTTTCTTTCCTTTAAAAAAAAGAAGAAAAAAAGTCCGCCTCAAAAAAGGAAACGGGCGATGCGGGGAGGCTTAACATAATTTTTATTTTATTTCGCCTAACCAGTCCCCCCTCCTCGTTTCATCATACTTTCAAATTTCATGTTCATCTTAGGTGCTAAAGTTCTGGCTGCGATCCCGGAGATGAAAGAAGAGGATCTCAGCGAAGAGTATTTTCGATCGATGTGTGCTGGTCACTACTTTGGCCGTTAGACTCGGTACGTAGTTTTGAACTTCAACATGAAACAAGATAATTGTAGTGCATATGTTCAACCATTGATTGTCCACTCATAGTATATATATATACAGAGCCGCAAAATAATCATCAACATTTCAAATTAGACTCAATAGTTTAAATACCTGTCAAGTCTCAAGTAAGCTTTGTTTAAGACTATAATATTATGGGCCTATACGAGATTGTGGACATGAGCAAGTGTCGGATACAGGGAGTAAAAACACGTTAATTTTACCTTTATTTGGAGACGGGCCCCTCCCCTGGTGCTAAAGGTGGGGGGGGGGGGGGGGGGGTGCAATTTTCAAATTTTCGAGGGACTTTTTTTTTTAGTGCTCAATACCCCCCCCCCCCCCGCTTATTCACCGGCTGGCTTTTTCGCCGCTAAATATTTTCTCACGAATTGGGCCCCCTCTTTGTCCCCTCCCCTGCCGCCGGCTGGATCCGACCCTGACATGAGCATACTTGCGTTCTTACTCTGACATTGAAAAAGATACTTCTCTCAATTTAGATGTTCAGCAGTATCAGTTTTTAAATTGTTGCTGATTACAATCTATAATTCTGAAACGCTGTGATCAATAGTGATAAACATAGAGTCATTTATAAAACTATCTTCTAATAAGAAATACAATATATATGTATAGGTCTATATATGCTTCTTTCTTCTCACCGTGCCCCCTCTCCCTTTCCCATTGTATCTCTGTCTCCCTTTCTCCCCCTCTGTCCCCCTCTCTCTTTCCCCTCTCTCTCTCCCCATTTATCTGTCTCCCCTCTCTCTCTTTCACCCCCTCTCTCTCTCCACCTTTCTCTGTCTCCTTTTCTCCCACTTTCTCTGTGCCCCCCTCTCTCTCTGTCTCCCCCTCTCTCTCCCCTCTCCCGTCTATCTCTGACTCCCTTTTCTCCATAATTTCCTCATTATTTTTCAAACAAAATATATTGTCTTCTTTTATTTCTCACATAGGAAGGGACCATGAGGCAACATCCGGGACACTTGATGTTGATTCTTCCTGAAGAAACAATGAAATAAAAGCATGAAATTGTCACCTTCCATCGTGTTTTTGCAACTTCCTAATATAATTAGAATCTTCTTTATCACTTCTGTATTGTTTAAATCCTTAAACCTTGTTAATCCTCTTAAACGAAATGATGGTGAGTGGTTTTCATTATTAATACATATTTTGCCTTTACTTCCATGTATCCGTTCATTATACATCTTTACAAGGTGTATACAAATATGTAGGGTTACAAGTACAACCATTCTTAAAATTTAGCATAATAATACATCTTTTCATCATAAGCTTCAAGTTAAAAATCTTCTCTCGGTTTTGCTCTTTTTTCGCCCTAAAAAACAATAAGACATTGTAAGCATGGTATTAGGGGAATAACTAATAGTATTAGAAATAATGCCGATAATCAAATCACATGAACATGAAAAACATACCTAGCGTGTTTGTTTTGGGTATTTTGTTATATGCTATAAAGCCAGTAGTGTATGATTAATAGAATAATGTTGGCATACATGGAAAATACGAAAAACAACACTTCGATACGAAAAAGTGAGAGAGGCAAAAATAAAACAAAGTATAAAGGTTGAATAGAAGAATAAAGATAGATAGAGAAGAGAGGGGGCACGGGAGAGCAGAGAGAAGAGCGCGAAAATAATAGAAAGTGTGTGAGAGAGAGAGAGAGGAAGTGAGGTAAGGAAAGCGGGGAAAGGAGAAAGAGGAGTGATAACAGAAGTAACAACTAAAGGCAGAAAGGGAAAGAATGAAAGAGAGAGAAAGAGCGAGAGATGTAGTGACAGAGGAGAAGCAATAAATATGCAATTGAGGAGCACTTAAGCGGAGAGAAGAGAGAGGGGAGCAAAGAGTGTGAGTGCGTGTGCGCACGCGTGTGCGTGTGTGTGTGTAAGGCACACACATTACTCAGTTGGTCTGTATAAAAGTATCTGAAAAATGAGACAACAATACGCTCTGTACTTTGACCATGGACCTATTACGGATGGACATTCAACGTGATTCTTTCTTTGATCCAATGATAGTCACCGCCTTCTGATATTTAAGATGGAGAGAAGAGAGAGGGGAACAGAGGAGAAAAGGATAAAAATGAAGGGGAGTAATGGATGTTGTGTGTGTGTGTAGGTGCGTGTGTGTGCGTGTGTGTGTATATGTGAAATGTTGCAAGCATGGCAAGAGACAAGTAATTTAAGATATTTGGAGGGTTATATTAATCCAATTATTTTTAATAATCGGAATATATGTATACATGGAAAAAGTATATTTGATAGATACTTGTTTGAAAGAGGGATTGTTCAACTGAATCACTTGGTTGAGAAAGGCCATGTTAAGTCTGTTAAATATTTTATGAACCTCGGTATGAAAGGTAATAATTTGCTTATGATTATTGATATTTATGATGCGATACCCAGGTTATGGAAGGATGATTCAGGGTTAATACAATTCCTCGAGGTTGATTTGATAAGCTTTAATACTTATTTCCATATTTCTAGTAAAAAAATACAGTTTGTGAATGTGGGTTCAAGAACAATTTATGATTATTTTATCAAAGCACTGCAACAAACGTATGATTTGCAGGTAAGGGATGGGCAAAATTATTATGATTTTATAGATAAAGAATTAAAAGAAATATTATTTTGTTAGACCAAAAATTACTATACTCATTAGAAAACAACGAGAATTTCAATTTAAATTATTGCATGGAGCCATATACACTAATGAGCATCTTCATAGATTTGGTTTTGTAGGTGATAATTTATGTTCGTTTTGTAAGCAGGAAATAGAAACATAGAAACATTTATTTTTATATTGCGGGAACGTTCAAAGGATATGGCAGGCTTTAATACAACTTTTTGAGTTAGATGAAATTAAAGATTTAGAATGGCGAGATATATTTGTTGGGTTGGTAGGTAGTTCATATAGAATAAAAATGTGTAATACTATCATTTTCATGGTGAAGTATGTTACATTTATGTCAAGATCGGGGGGGGGGGGGCGAGTACCAACTTTAGAAAAGATGATTTTTTTTTGTTTAAGTATAGGGATGAGGAAAAGAAAATAACAATTAAAATGGGAAAGCTGGGATCACATTTCTTAAAGTGGGAGCAGCTTAAGATTAATTAAGATTGTTTTGTTCTTCTCCACCGTGAGCCTGTTAAAAGGGTAACTCTATTTTGCGGCCTGGATAACTTATTTAGTATATTTTTCTTGAGTTGAGAATGTTAGCAGACATCCACTGAGTGAGTAGTATGTGTGTGTGTGGGGGGAGGGGGGGGGTGGGTGGGTGAGTGAGTATGTTTGTGTGATGGAGGGGGCAGGGAGGGGGCAGGATTGTTCCAGTAAAATTACCTCCAGATTTGTTTAAGTTTTTTTTGTTTGTAAATAAGTGAATAACATTTACAATTGACATATTATGTTTAGGTACTTATACGTTTACTTTGTTGCTAAGTTATATATACTGCAAATAAGTTTGTGTTTAATTATGTTTATGTAAAAGCATCAATATTGAACACGTTTATTTTATTCAATTGTATGTTATGGTTTGTATTGCACATTTGGAGAAATAAAACAAAATTGTTAAAAAAATATTTAAAAATATGTGAGGCACACACATTTCTCAGTTGGTGTGTGTAAAATTATCTGCAAAATGAGACCTGTATTTAAGTTTGACCCAAAAGTTTGGAGGGAAAAAGTGTATTAAAGCATTTAAAACTGAGTAATATAAGCCCAAAGAGGGATTTAAAAAAAAAGTTAATTTTTAAGGCCCTATGAGGGGGAAAAGGAGCACGTAGGCTTTTAGGGTTTTAGGGGTCTGATCCCTAAATATATGAAAAAGTGAAAGCATTTTTTTTGTTTGTAATTGCATACTCGAATTCACAAATGTGAGGGCCAAGAAAATGCACACAGTTATATTTCCTTAACCCTAATCACACATCACAGATAGCCAGACACATATTCTGTGACTGTGTTGTCTGATTTCGCACCCTGGTATTAACAATGAATTAACGGTATGCATTAGTTTAAGTAAAACAATTAACATTAGGGTGATCACACTGCCTGTGCAAACAGTCTGCCCCGCGAACACACACACACAACAGCAGTCAGTTGGTAGAAATAGCAATTTTTGTAAATGTATTAAAAAAAAACTAAACAATATTTTTAAATCTTTATTTCACATATATTTCAAGCATACCTTTAACTACATTTCTGTGTAGTTTCATTGTTATAGTTATGTGGGAAATATGTTAATTATTGAATTAGAATATTGTCTTTTCAGCCATGTGTGACATGGCCCGCTGATCGCCCGTTGACTCGCGCTGCTATTCTGCGTGGTGAAAAAATGCACCTCAATGTATAAAACTCTCCTACAAAAATGCAATATCCTCATGTGTTTCACTCATTGAATCAATTTGTTTTTTACGCTCAAGGTAGCGACAACTGTACTGGGATTACCAAATTTTGTTTTTTTTCTGAAATTCAGTCCCTGTAGAATGTTATGGCCAAGAGGGTTACCATCATGCCCAAAGATTGAATGGTATCTCGGAAAATCGTCATAAATCCTCGAATCTGACATCTTAAAAAAAAAAACATATACTGTGATGTAGCTGAAAGTCTACAAATTCTTATCATATGATCGGTTTTTCTGAATTATTTGTGAAACACATGGGGAAATAGCTGTGACGGTGATCCAAGTAATTTCCATCGCCATATTGTATTGGCATTGCAAAAATATTACTAATTTAAGGTCAATATTTGGTGTAAATATGATCTATGAATATATAATTTTAAAAATGCCCCCAAAATAAACAGTTTGACTTTCCTAATTTGCATAATGAGTGCGCGAATATATAATTAGCTGAAATTACCTAATTTGCATATTTGATGAATATTCATGATTTTATTTTATTACAAATGAAATATATTTCCATACCTGTCTGATATACATAGGTTTCACTGATGTATCA